GCATCTTGGTCAAAATACCCAAGTTCAGTGCTGCTGCCACTGAAAATACCTCTAAAAAGCGAGAGAAAGATGAGTTTTCACGAAAGCATAAGCATTCTGATTTTAAAAAATGCAATAAAATCAAGAGTACAATACTTAGAATAATTGGGGCTGATAGCTGGGACAAAGCACCTGATCTGTTTCATTCTGACAATAGTGCCAAGGTACAGAACGGCAGTAACGAAGCTGAGAAGTCACATTCAACCAGCTGTGAGCTTTCTTTTTTTGCTTTGCTTGATCCACCCAGGATGAATAAGAACCTCTTTGACCAGTTTAACACAGACTCAAATGTCAGGAGTAGACACAAAGATTCTTTGTTCCCCACTTGGGCACAAACCAACCCTACTCCATGTTAAACTACACGCCCCTCCATCTAAGCCTGTCATAGCTGAAAGGAGAAGCAGATTCCTCATTAGATCCTCATCTCCCAGGGACCTCTAAAAGCATAATTTGAAAGGGGGTAATCCAGAGTCTCTAATTACAGGAAAAGAACAGAGACGCTGTAACAGGAATCTATCCCATGTAGACAATCTATCCCAGTTTTACAAGTGCAAAGAAGCCTCCAATATAGGTTTCTGTCTAGATGTTATTTTTCTGCATAGAAATCTCAAGAGAGGTTAAAGGCATCACCAGAGGCCTAGGCCTCACTAGGCTACTGAGGTTCCAGAAATCCCAGACAGAGCTGCTGCTCAGGCTCAGAATTGCATCCACAGCCCACATACAATAAGCCTACACAGCACTACCTAATGCATGTACACTTATTTCTACCTACAAATACAACCACCTCATTTGCGTACGTCATACCAGATCACAGGAATTCTGCAATCAAGACAATCCATCTTATTTAGACTATTCCTTGGTATTACATCTTTTTCTTATCCATTATGAAAAAGAGACTTTTAAAATGTAGAATGTATTGAGAGATGTGTACATCTGTTGGCTCGTTTGCATGTATAGTGCAGAACTATAACTTATATAGGTTACTGGTATTCTGGCATCCCTGGAGTAATCAAACTCCATCTTGCTGTTTTATTTAGCTATAGATGTGTGCACTTGCATATAAGTCAGTGTCAACAAGCCTTAAATCAACTGAATTGATTAATCCTAGCAGATTAATATGTGTTTTTATCATTTGTAAGAAATGCTATATATTGAATCAGTGCATCTAAACAGACGGATATTGCCTCCAAACAACTTCATCTACATGAGATAATTTATGAACTGTAAGACATGGCACACAAAAATCTATACACTGAGATCTGACGTTAGTACAGGACTAAGAACCAAGAATCTCCCATATTCTCATCCAGCTCTGAGAGTGAGTTCATGCTCTACATGCCAGATAATCTCCCTTTCTCTGGACTAAGGGTTGAATCTTGCTGCCTGGGCTTTACAAAAGAATTCATGTCCACCTATTAAAAAACCCAACCATCATAACATTTTAGGTATCGAGGAAACTTTAAACAGCAGAGCTGAAAAAGAATAAAAAAATGTGCCCAGAAACAACTAGAGTTTTAGAGGAGTAGGTAGCTGAAGCAGTTCCAACGTTAGCAATGCTGTGCAGAAAATACCTGTTTTTGTTAAGGGGCTGGAGAACAGCTGCTGAAGAAGTTTGTTCTCTGAAGTTCGCAACACCACCATAGGAAGAGTGTCTCTGTTCTTCTCAAGGAATGCACAGGCATCATATAATACCTAGCATGGGAAACAGAATCAGAAAAGTTGCCAAAATGGGTTACCCATAAACTGCTACGTTCTTTAAAATCTGAACAGTAAAGATGACCAAGTAGGCCAGTTAGTTTGGCTCTGACAAGCCACTTGAATTATCTGCAAAGGACTTAAAAGAGCACAGCTAAAGCAGTGCCTTCAGAATGTGAACTGGCTATAAATAGCACCTATATTCATAGCATGTCACTGCACATCAAACCGGGTTAACTGGCTTAAATCCTGTTGTACTATGCTTTGTCACGTCAAACCATGGTCTGCATGATGCAATGGAACAGAGATGCCTCATTAAAGCTTAAGTTGACAGTTTACATGTGAAATAAGAAACAGTTCTCAGGTGGGCATCATCTATTTGTTGTCTGCACCAAACTCGTGATCTCTAGGTAGACCTGCTGGAGGAACGGCAGTAAGTTGCACATCTAGGTACACTAAATTAGGCATCTTGCTGCTTCAGAAATAGTAGTAGGAAAACAAAACATTCATCTAAACTATTTCAATTTAATTAATAGCTGGCTGTTTGTATTCACATAAGAATCAGTTAATTTTGCTTAACTTTTTATTTCTTTTTTAAAAATTGCGGTAATTTTATAGACCTGTTTTATTATCACTAGCAGTATTCCTCTCTAGCCCAATTCTACTGGAGTCCATCAGTTTACATAGAAAATGAATGTTCTTCTGCAATAGACAGCTGGCCAGTGGTGCTTTTACAACTTGAGTACAAATAATTTACTGAACTTGTATGAACTTTTCCAGTTATCATTAAAAAAAGCCAGAAAGCTGGACAAAGTTCACTAGAACATATCTTAAAATTCTGGAGTCTTATAATGAGCCAGAGATGAGACTTCATCGATAATTATATAAAACTTGGCTGTTGCATTTTGGTTTTGTTTACAAAGATTTGGACCTGAAATCGTAAGCAAACTCATGTTATGGGAAAAAACTGGACTGTTATTCCCCATATAAAATAATGTGTGAACTGCTGAGAACAAAAAATGTTAGATGCTACACAGTACAAGAAAACATCTGTGCTTGCTAGTTCCAGTCGTTCCAATGCACTCCATAGGAGCTTAAGTTCTATTACAGATGCTCGTTTACATTACATTTTATCCATACACTTGTAGACACTCACACACAGAACTACTGTGGCATTCACACAGTGCAAACAATCACGTACCCTGTTCTGGCTCCAGAGAGCTGCTTCTTTGAAATGATTGCAGTAATGGTGTCTCTGGTGCCAGATTTCTTTCAGAATAAAAGGTGGTTACTCTCTACACAATCTGTGAAAGAGCCCTAAGGATAGGTTCTAAAATGGACTACTACACATGAAAAATTTATCAGAGAGTCTAGGTTTCCATAAACTTTATCATTTTGGCTCTTAAAATGAGAAAAAAAAAAACAACCAACCAAACCATAGAACAGAAACTTTGGATAAAACAAATAATGACCACACCACTGCTATTTGAACTAAAGAAAAATCACATGCCCTTACCTTTCCAGCATAGTGCTGAATACCAAATGACAGTTCTACTCCTTTAGGTCTCCAAAAGTACTTGCATCGTAAGTTATCTTCAAATTTATCTACATATTGAGAAGAGACATTGACACAAGTGACTCAGAGTGACTGAGTAAAATCTTCATGTTAATCAGGGACTGTTCGCTGTTCAAGAAGCCAGAACCACTACAAACACAAGTACTATCAGACTGCTCAGAAACAGCTGCATGCCAGCTTCTCTGCTTTCTTCCAAGCTGCCACTGCCGAATGGAACAGCTCATTCTAAACTAGCCTAGCAGGACTGTCCTGCATATCGCTGTTTGTGGATAGTTTTGTGCATCGAAAACTATCAAATGAGAGAGGTCAGTGAGAAGGTATGATGACTTCTCATATTTTGCTATGAATTTGCTCACATATACATAGAGGGTTTGGGGTGGGTTTATTTCAGCTATGTACATTCAAAGTTGTGCACGTATCTCTCTTGTTTAAATGCCTGTTATTTGTATTTACCTGTCTTCCTTTCGCCATTCATTTAGCTTTGTGTATCATGTTTTAAGTATATGTTAATGTATCCAAGGCCAGGGCCATCTCTCATTTACCTTTGGACTTCTACAGAAAAAGAGGCTTCTATCTAAAACCTCTTCTTAAAGAGGCTTTCTGTTTCCCATGACTATCTCTAAAGCGCTGATAGAAAAAGAAACACCACTTTCTATGATTCTAAGAAAACTATCCTTTATGCCCTGTGATATTTTGTATGCTCTTTAATAGTTTGTACTTAAATTAGTGCCGATACTGTAAAACTTGCTATTATATTTCCTCATCTGAACAAGCAACTAGAGATGTGAGGCCAAAACCAATTGATAAAATTATCTGTCATGCTGTGTAGGTCAGAAAATATTATCAACGTGTTTTTGCTAATGTTAGAATTCGTTAAAATTTTGTGTTAGCTTTTTCTTTCTATTAATGTTTAATCAAGCTTGTATTTAAAGCAAGAAGAACTAAGTTTGGGATTTCAGAGGGGTAGGGAGGAGGGTGGTAGAATTAATGGTTGTCTGGCACATCTGGAGAGGGCAAAATATCCCACCTCGCTGTCTCCTTGAGGGGTCCTGCTGTAGTGTGTACAGATCAGCCTCTGCCAAAGCCCAAGGTCAACACTCAGAATTAACTGATTTATAGGACTCACAAGGAGGCACACAGCTTTAGCACGCACATGAGGACTGGAATGAAACCACAGCATTCATTCTATCTGTGACCTAAATTCAGGTTTCAACCCAGCCTAGCAGAAGTGAGAAATCTTGTACATATATTGTGCAATTTAACAGGCAGCTCCTATTTCTCTCTGAATTAACAGTTTGGGCCTCTGCTGCACATTCCATTGAAGGAACTGGAACTCTGTTTTATATTGCAGGGAAAAATGTAGCTGTAGTAAACACAAGCAAGACAACAGTTTGAAACATGGCATGCACCGCCTGTTTTAAAGTTGGCACCAAGATTTGTTAGAATATATGTAAAATATGCATGAGAAAGGGAAATATTCAGCCAGATGGCACATCAGAAATAACACACACTTTCTATTTATGATGAGATAATCTGGAGTGAAGCAGTGTTTTCTAATTGGATAAACATGGGCCTAGGAGCCTGGGAGATCTGAATTTTACTGTCAACACTAATGCTGCCCACAGGGTGGTCCTAGAAACAAAATTCTAAGTCTCAGCCTTCCCTTCAGTAAACAGGGATAAATACTGCTTGCTGCACCTCACGTACAGGGACAAGACACAGGTTATTTCCTTATAATGCTGGAAAGACAATAAGCCCTTGACACCTGATATGTAAGATAACTTTTGCAATATAAAAAGAAATGAAAACACATATAAAAATTAGGTAACACAATGAAAAATATACTTAAAATACCAAATTAAATGGCATGGCCTCAGCATGACAACTAGGATAGTAAAATTTGAGTAGAAATGTCATCCTGCCCTCTCAAAATATATGTGCTATTTCCCTGGATTTTTGTTTGCACATACCAACCAAAGTTAGGTCTGTTGCCTGAGGAAAGCGACTTTCTTCATCGAGTAGAGACAGGAGACCCATGGGTTTCTGGAGGAACATGTCTAGAAGTGGACGGTTGTCCTCATACTCCACTGCAGCAGCATCAATTCCTTCACTCTGATATTCCATCTGTGAAGTCGCCGGCACAGTTTTAATATTGACCAGTAAAAGCAACATCATCATTAGGACAATAATGACGCCCAGCAATACTCTATAGGCCCCAACAAGATGACTTACAAAACTTCAACTGATAGATATCACTATCTTGCATTTAAATCACAAAGCCATTTTATAGGTTATAAAGTACTCCTGAATATGATCTATTGTTCAGGACGAGTGATTCAACTAGACCTCATCAGAGCTGAATTTACCTGCTCGAGTGCAAAGATATGTTGATTGAAGTAAAACTGGATCTGTTCATTAGCAATATTTATGCACAGCTGTTCAAAGGAATTTCTTGCAAAGTTCTCAAATCCGAATATGTCAAGTATCCCAACATTCATCCCATTTTCAGCACTGCTGCATGCGAAAACACAAACAATGTTCGTAACTGGCAACACCAAGTTAAAAGAAAAATAAACACTGTAACTAAGACTGCATAATTGAGCCAATCTACTGCAAAAAGAGAGGAGAAAAAGTGTGTTCGAACCAAAGACAACTTGTGCATTTGATCAGCATCATTAACGCTTTTGCTTTCCACTTGCTTCTTGCAATTTCCATGAAGATGGCAGGAGAATCATAGGTACACAGTAACAGACACTTAGCAGCCCTATTAAGCCAAGTGGTTTCAATAGGTAGATCCCAAATAAAATCTACTGCCCCCTCCTTCAGGTAAACAAAAGGTGTCAAGCTCTAATAGCACGTTTCTGCTATACGCAGTCAGAAGGGTCATCACCAAGTCTGCTGCTGCTACAACTGGACTGTTATGAGCCCATGTGTAAGCTCAAGTGTACTCCTACCACAGTCCCCACTAGAACTGCAACGATGGATAAGGACACATCTATTAGATATAGTGGGGTGCCATGAAGAGATCTCAGATCAGAGGCATTTTCACATCATCTAAGGGGTTCCCTTGTTTCTAAAAATCTCTATAGCTGCTTGAAAAGACCAAAGCAGCCAGATCAGCACTTGGCAATGAAATCATAAGGATGCACAATGTGAATGTTTCTGTGATTACGAAAAATAAAAAATCATCACTTACATCTCAAGTAGCAGCAAAATAATAATCTGAGATCTGTATTTATCACTAGCTTGCAAAAGCAGAAGGACTCTAAGGACCGTGAATACACTCAAGTTTTTCAGGGTACCCCAACTATTTTCCAGTCTTTGGTATGATTTTAATGTTCACTACATAGGAAGCATATTTTCAGAGAACTGTACAGTACTTTAATCCCCCAATTTCCACTGGCTTCAGTAGCTAAATTCTACTCAGCTCTGTGAAAATGTTGGGGTTAATGTCTTGGAAACAGAATTCAGTATCGCAGCATGAAAGCCATTTTGAAGGCTTAGCCAAAATAAACACTGCACCCTTTCTACAAAACCAAAAATATACAAGTGGATGAACCCATCAAAGACATATGCATAGTAAATACACATGATTCAGTGATGTGTAACTTGCCATATATTTTTATCTGGCTGAAGCAGCGTATTAATACGATTTACGATCCAGCTGAAGAGCCGGCCATAAAGTGCTTTAGACATGGCATCTCGCACGTCAGCTGCTTTGTCCACAGTGTTTGTTCGGATAATAGTCTCCCCTCGTGTTACAACACAGTGGGAGGTTAGGGCCTCTTGAAGTTCTTCTGACCCAATACTTAGTAGTGCAGCAGCTAAAAGACAGTGGAAAAAAAGATATACATGACTGCGATTATGCAGTGGAAATCACCAGCATCACCAACTGTTACCACAAGTTAGAGGTTCTCACAAATACAGCCAAATTGCACTTACAGAACTGAGGGTGTTAAATTGTATTTACCATTATCTAAGGCTTCTGGGTTGGGAACCTCACTTTTATCTGTTTGGTGTTGAGAAGAAATAGCAGCAAACTCAATATTTCCAGTATTTAAGATTCCAGTCAGAATTCTGTACACTGAGTACACTTCCTGTAAAAGATGACAAGAAGAACTCTTCTGTTCAAATATATAGATCATATTTAGGCTATGAAAGAAAAAGGTGGGCACTAGAATGACTAATAGGGCTTTTAGCTTGCCCTGAGAGCAAGTTCTACGAATTCAAGTAAGCTCCTATTGAACAGAAAACAGCGTGATGCAGAACTGTGAATGGACTGGCCTGAGCACCGACTGAGACCTCAGGCTGGTCTTGGCTTCTGAGTGGGTGGTTATGCTTTCACAGTTCACTTCTGTCATGAGAGAGTGTCTGTGGCACAGGTGTGTATCCACAAAACCAAATGGCAAGCAGTTTTTATAAAGAAGGTCAATAATGGTTTAGAAACTGGGTGTCTTACCTCATCAGTGAATCCTATAATTCTAAAACAATGCTGAATTGCTTCAAATTGTTGTCCATATGAATCTTTAGTAACAATGTCATGCATTACTCTTCCAGTTTCATTATCAATGTATCTAAATAGAGTCGGAGAAAGAAAGCACTGTACTAGCAGATATGACAGTACAACCTCCAGTGACTTCAATGCAAGTACCTCAGTAACTGGGAAGAACACCTATTTCAGTATCTTCCAATTACATACTTTGGTGCTAATTCCTAAGAAGTCTTTGTTTCTGTTGCACTAACTTTTGCTTATTCTTTGTTAATATCTATGATAGTGTTACCAACACTTCACACATACCCCCTCACCCAGTACAGATAGATGCACCTGAAGTACAAATACAAATTAAAAAAACACAACTCCAAAGCATGTTCTGTGTTCATATTCAATCATAAGGTGACCGTCCTGATCTGAAAGTACAACAGAAATTCTACATAAGAAGCAGCTCGATTCTTCCTCCTCCTCTTTAAATAGTTAGAGTTGTCAGACAAATACAAATAATGTAATGCCTTATCGTCCATTCTCTTCTTTGCTTGGGAGGATTAAAAAAGATCCTTAAGGGATGGAAAAGGATTAAGAGAGATTTTAAGGCATCATACTGAAAGCAAGAGCTGATCAATAGCTAATTACAACGAGCAGTTAAAACAAGTGATAGTTACCTAGGAGGCTTTGTATCAGGAAGTCTATATTCAGAAAGTTTCTTCTGATGATAAAGGCCAGCATAAATATAATAAAATATATGGAAATTTTTCTCACCCCTGGGAAAAAAAAGTATCCTTTTAAAGAACACCTGTTTATTCTTGTGACACCTTGTACAATGTAAAATTAGAGTTCTTATCATAAGCTCACTGAAGTAGGTAGCAAATCTCCCACTTGTTTTAATGGTGTAGGATCAGCAACTGTGAAACACAGAAAACCCAGCGAAGCACATCACATCTCCAAAGAACAGAGCAGCTCAGGCTTCCACTCCAAAAAACCCCTGACTGTTCTTGCAATCATAGCACTGTACAAAGGATTACTGCTTTAGCAGAAGACACAAAAGCATTTAAAACAAATAATTTTTGAGAATTAAACAGAATCCAAACATTCTATAAATGTGAAAGGACAGACAGTTAATATACCTACACAGCCTGTTTTATGACCCTTGATTTTTCAAGTAGATATTCAGAAATCTTTGCCCCCATTACAGCTCCTGTGGGTGTAAACATCATTTCCAGGTATTTTCCAAAGCGACTTGAGTTGTCATTGATGGCAGTGCAGGCATTTCCAAATGCTTCAACCAGAGGATTCACCTGAAGAATTTTCTCACGCAAAGCACGGTTATTGGCCTTGACAGAACAGATAGAGAGCAGCAGGATTATTAAAAGAATGTATTTCTTACCTGCAATCCAATCCTGGCTTCAGAAGCCAGGCTAGCTTCAGATCCCTTTCTCATGCTTGTATGGACTTAGATACTGTGTTAACCACTCTACTTGTACAACAACAGGGCCAAAAATTGATGAGAAAGTCTCTCACAGGTTGGAAATTACCAGATTCTTCTTTCTCTGCAATTGTTCTGTCTCTGAGGTGTCATATAATTAGTTAGAGTATCAAAACCACCAAAACCTAAACACATTTACTTAAGGTTAACCTTACACACTTGATTTTCCCATCATTCTGCACTAATAGCATCACTTGTAACATTTAAATGTGTAAGAGATTCTAAGATCAGAGCCATAGCAAGATCTGTCATTCCTTATTGTATAATTGTATATTGTATATGTATATTGTATATATAATTCCTATATTGTATAAATGAACAATGTTATATGTGATAAACACTGTGGATAACCACAGGCCCTGAACACTCAGATCTGGCATCTCCTCTTTAAAAAAATACTGAATGACTTAGTGTGGGTCATACTCTCGTATCTTAATTCAATAATCTCACATGCATGATTCCTTTGTCCCTAACTCAAGTGGGACAATTCACATGAACAGCTTTAAGTATTAAAGATTAAATAAAGTGGAAATCGGGGGTGGGGTTGGGAGGATTTGCTCACAGTTTTACATGACTGGCTAAGAAATACCTTTCCCAAGAAGGTCAAATGTTGAACGATCAGATGGGCACTTTCTGTCTTTCCAGCACCACTTTCTCCACTGATGATAATGCACTGAACACACAAAATGAAACCATTAAGTGCACATAAGTTCAGTTTCAGCTGTTAATGCTCCTATCTCTTATTTAATGTCTAGTACCAAGACTACAAAATACTTTCACACTCAACTCCCTTCTGAAAGGGAAGATCAGCAAAGGCTCACTGAAATAACTTATTCCCTCAGTTACTAAAATGCATCTCGCAATACCCGATAGCAACGTACGTACGTGTGAAGCAGTGACTGAATTTCTAAGGGCATTTCTAAGAAGCATAAACGAGTGGCCACGTCTACAGGTTAGCACATGCTATTCATATAGGCAGCTTGTTTCAAATGCGTAAACCTCAGAGAACTGCCACAGCTCAGTCGATGTGACATAATTCAAGTGTACTCAGCTCACTGCGCCGACTTCGTATGAATTCACATGAAACACAGGCTACAGCTGCATTTAATACACTGACTAAAAATCTGCTCCTGGCTTTGAAAATAATCTTAAATAATGGCTGCTGCACAGAGCGGTTATTCTGGAGGTGACACTGATATTCAAGCTAGAACAGCAAACTAGTATCTAATCATTCCAGAAAAACATGCATCTGTTCATCGGATGATTCTGGGAGAACACGTCCATCTTCTTCCTCAGCCAGCAGTCCCTAAAACATGGTATTTTATAGGCTCTCCAAAGAGATTCCAGACTCAGGGATAAGCTAGAATGGTCTGAATCACTCGGTATCCTCCTCTCTGCTGTTATGTTTCATGAACAAGACGGAAGCAGAAGGCCACTATACCTTGAAGGCCAGTTCACCGAACACTGAAGCAGGAACAGTTCAGGTCATAGCAAATAGAAATTCTAACAGAATTTATTATTTTCCCATTTTTTGCATGTGCTCCACAGATCAACAGTACAAATATTAGTCTACTTAAGGTACAGTATCAACTGACATAGAACTAAAATGACACTGAGCAGCTGCATAGATTCATGTGTTTTTATGCAAACATCTGAAAATTATTTGCACCACACTGTGAACATACAAGTTTCTTGGCTGGGAGAACATACAAGGTCCTAAAATACTTGATGCAATGACACATCACATAGAACTGAACTTTGTGAAACCGTATGAAAGATGCAGCAGTTCTCTGGTGGTGTCTTGTGGTGTCTGACAGTAGATGCACAGATTGACTTTAAACAATGTGTGCAATGTGACATTTGCAGCTCATTTATTTGCTTCTTGATGGGTGTTTTTGTTCTTCTTGGAAACAGAAAACCCAGTGATGGATTTACAGGGTTACAATACTGAATTTAATTGTCATGCACAACAGTTTATAAAGTTAGAGCCCATGAGTTCTTGTAGAACTCATAAAACTCTTGCAGGATTGGTGAGAACTCGACTTTAGCTTCAGGAGAAATGTTAGATCTGGAGTCAGTTTTCAGGCTTCACAGGAAAATACAAGGGAAAGCTCAATGGATAAACCAAACAGAATCAATACGTTTTTGATCTGCCTACAATGTGTACCTAGGGCACCTTTACCTGAAGAGCCAACATAACATTGGCCAGGTAATGGAGATAAACATGCTCCTGTGATCCTTTGCAAACAGAAAGTAGGAAACTGATCTAGATCTAAATACAAATTGCCTCCTAAATGGGTATAAAACATATAATATTAAAGATGTACAAAGTTAGCCTGACTGGCTGATGTCAAACCTGTTTTTTTTCCCCAGATCACAAGTTCTCACATAACCTATTCTACTTCTGTCTGCTGTTTTCTTTAGTGCCTCCATCAAAAAGCATATAAGCCATTACAGAAGTACCAGCCATCTCTCAGGCTGGTGTACTTCCACACACTCAGTAGAACTCCTTTCCGTCTTCAATGCCTCTTCTATTTGTCTTTGCTTGGTATTTTCTGATTGCAGGCTTCTTACTATTTTGTTCTGCTTTTGTGATTTAAACAAAGCATTTTCTATGAATTATTTTATGATGTGCAGGGTAAAATCAGGAGGATTTTATAAATAAAAATACTTATTAGCCTTCAATGTTCAAGTAAATACAGCACATCAAATTAGAAAGAGTACAAAGTTACAATCTTAAGAATAATAAAAAGAAATCTAGCTTCTACAGCATGGCATTTCATTATCATTAACATCATTGCTATACAAGTGAATTTGTGTCCTTATTGCATTTATATTAGACCTATACTTAATATATTTTACTAGATAATAGTTAATGGTTCCTACTTCTTGTCACTTGTAGTTAAAGGAATTGATTATCCATTGCTCGATGGTGTCTTTATGTAACAGAAAAGTGGTTTGAACTGTTAATCTGCTATGGCACTGAGACCCTCCTGTTCCACACAGGCGTAAATTACTACAATAGCCAACGCTAGAATCAGCGTGCAGCAACACTCTGCACCTGGTGTGAAATGCCAGGACTTCACGTGTGTCTGAGGAAACTATACTGGTCAGGTAACCACATCATCTTATCTGACCTTTCAGTCTCTTTTAGGCCACTGTCTCTTCAGAATTCCCAAACCTGACTGGATTTCTACCCTGGTTTTCCTGTTGTAGAAATAAATGCCTTAAAGAAAAAATTTCCCAAAGTACAACATAACAGACCGTTAGCCATAGCCATGTAGCATAGTGGCAGTACGATGAATATGAAATCTCAACCGAAACGAACAGAGTTTTACCTGATCTTTGCTAAATGTAACCATACTTTGGTAGGCAGCATCCGCAGAGGCAAATATGTGTGGGGGATTTGATGAGCGCTTCACACCATGGTAAAGCTTGGAGAACTAGATTTAAAAAAGAACACACAGTAGTCAAAACATGCAACCTAACTACATAATCAAGAACTGAAAATAAGCACTGAAAAGAGGCCAGTCACTGTCTTCTGCCTGTTCCATGGAAGGTGGTTGCCTGTTTTACCACAGAATTTCCACTCAGTCACCTGGCAGAAGGGCAGTAATTCCTGGCACTGCCTAACTTCCACAATACAAATTACAGCACCTAGAAAGCACTCCAACGTTTCCTGCACAAGACAGTGAAGGCAACTGTATCACAAGGAACAGAATTTCAACCACAATCATTCAAGGCAGGAAATACGCAGCCTACACAAAAGAAAGTTCAAAGATAGCAGTGAATCTGAACCCTGGCCCCTATACATGCAACCTTGATTTAGGCACCCATGGAGACTAAGATTTATGGCTCCACCTCCCTTCGTATTTGTAGGAAATTAAGCTGCCTCTATCTTTATAGCATTTGATTCACCTGTTTCTTTTAAGCAACAGCTGATGGCACAATACTTGTAATAACCCAATAGTCAGAGCGATTCTTCAGGAAGCAACAGCCTCAGCATGAGGAGGTTCATGTAACCACTTTCTGCTTCCCAGAAGAAAACCTTAAATGCCAGACAAGAGGCACAGTTGTGGCTGAGGCAGTCACCATCCCTCCTGGGAAATTTGTGTCACCAAGCAGAAAGGAGTGAGATCAAATGAATCGACTTTTTAAAAAAATAAATAAATAGAAACTGCAGCCACAGTTTTCTGGATGAAGAAGTCTGTGCTCCTAACTTCCAACGTCATTTAAGTATTTTAGCCCGTGGTGCTAATGTAAAATATGAAGCGAGTACTGTCCACAGCTTGAAGTCTCTCTTACCTGGGGAGAATAAATGCTGAGATTCTGGAAGGGGTTTAAGGCTATTAGAATGTCTCCAACGTAAGTATAAATTTGTAAGTCAGCATAGCGTTTCTGCAGCTGCTGGATAATTGTATCCTGAGGAGGTTACAAGAAGTTTGATAGTTAAACAGTATTTTCCCACTTAGGAAGATATTTGTAAATATACTGAGAACACTGATTAAGAAATAATTACTAATTACAAACTAAATACAAATAATTACTAATTATTTGTCAACTGGTAACACCACAAAACAAATGTTTTCAAAATTCTTGCTAATGCCATAAAACCAAGTACAATGGCAACTGCTATTGCTAGGCTAGTACATATTTTGTTATACCAGCCTGAGAAGCAAACCTTCTGAAGAGAAAACGGCCATGCACACTATTGCTGCACTTCATAGTCCATTTCCATTTAATCTTTTGTTTGACCATGAAACAAGGATGATAATATTTCAAGGATTAAATTTTAAGAGGTAGTAAGAGACCGTTTCAAGCAGGACGCTAGCACAATTCAGTAATGTGTCTTTTGCTTCTTGGCATGCAATTTAAGGGTCATCGAAACAAAAATTCACAGATACTCTGCATGTAGGCAATACACTGGAATATGCAACTGATTGCTTGATCACTTCTTATCCAGAAGCTGTAGATATCATATTACTCTATATAATCAGTTTTAGGAAAAATCACTTAAATCTAGAACTTAATGACTAAACTTCACATTGTAGGAAACTCACAAAATAATTTAAACTAGCATCATTCATAATTAAATTCTTCCACATAATAGGATTCACTGCTATAGCTTTTATGTCACTACACAGAACATTAACGAAGTGATGATAGTAGATCAGCCACGTGACAATTCTTTTTCCACGGTAAGACAAAAGCTTGCAAGAAGGAACTTTCTGTTAAAAGAAGCCTACAAAGTAGAAACAGGCAAAATGTGAGGCACAGTTGTCAGAAATTGCTACCCAGACAGCACAGTACCTCATCCAGAACTTCTAGATTTACCAGATCGTCATCTAGTGAGCACTTGTCAGCTCCATCCACATGGTAAGGTCTTCTAGTATGTATTCGTTCGTGCCTGGAAGTTTGTTAGTAGAGCAGCAGTGTTACAACACTGTATTGAAGACAGCAAATATTAAGAGGCAATGGGAAGTCACGGGTGAGTATTTTTGTCATGCAAAAAACACAGACAAGCTCTTTGAAATACATATTTTTGCTTAAAATATCCTTTTATAACAGCAATAGGTCAGCTTGCTGTGCAGAGTAAGACCTGTTTTCTCTTTCACAATATACAACCCTATCTACCATCAATGCTCAGAGATGAAGCTTTATCTGTAGGCTTACTACTCCCCGCTCACACAATAAAATATATATAAAAAATCTCCATCTTTTCCCTTCCCTTCTCACTCTAAGTTAAGAAACTACCACTCTGTTTAATGAAATCTTCCCCCACATACACAGCCTATAGTATTGCCATCTAATGAAGTTACAAGAAGCAACAAGTAGTATAAAACCCTTCTGTTACCTTGGTGTATGCCAAAGCGCCTCCTCAGATGACCCCAGATTTGGCCCAAAACAACATTTTTGAACCACAGCTGCCATCAGACTCTAAATTGTACGGATGCTCAGTCAGCTTGTCCTCAGAGATTTAAGCCACACAATAAGCAGCAGAGACAAACTGTCACATAACCCCTTCATAATCAGATTATGCTGAAGGAATCTTTGAAAATGCTGTGTGTATGTTTTTAAACAACACATCTTGTTGAAACAGGGACAAATCAAGGGGCTGCAATATGTCTTTCACAAAGCGGGTGAAATATGAATGCTGCAAGCACAACTAGGTTTTTCTTTACAACAAACATAATCAAAGCATAGTAGGAGGACACCCACCGAGATACAGTCTGCATCCTGCTGAGTAACATTTAGCATTGATCCTCAATGACAGCCCCTGACAGATTGTTTCTGCATTGGCTGCCATGTAGAAAGTAGGAATCACACGATCACACATCCTGAAACAACGCTAAATATCAAATGAAGCACTAACAGAATGGTATTGTGACTTGGCAGGAAAAACTGCTCCTCTATAATGTTGAAGGCTAACATGAAGACGTAGCAGGTCTTTTTTTTCCTTAATCACATCTTCATGTACTCAAGAAATTCTGCTTAAAAAATGAGTACTGAGGCTTTTTTCCCCTTTACGTGTACTTCTACATGTGAACCTGGTCAGCTGTCATTCAGTAGAGAATGTTTTCATACCCAAGAGCATCAGAAGACTTATTGCATGGAAAGCCTCTGACAGAGAGGAAGGAGGACAAGAGCTTTAGCTTGGAGTAGTACAGCTTCACCGGTAACTGCGAATCACATTTAAAGAGCCTAATTTTTTAATGTCTATTTTTATTCATTTTCCTTGTTTACTTTTGGCTACCCTATGAGTTCTAGAAAACTATTCTGTAATGGTTTATTTGAATTGTAACTAAACAGAACTGTGCAAACTGTTTTGTCAGCTAGGAAGTAAAATACTGGGGACACAGCAGATTTTGCTGACATAGCAGGTTTTCAGTATTTCGCTGAAAATATAAGTGGCACTTATATTTTATATCCCACGATCCCAGAAATGGTGGCTTGATTATGAAGAAATGAAAGAAGGAGAATACAAATAAGAAGTTATGAAGCAAAAATTGTTACAGTGAGTATTGTTTCCAGTGGGTACCATTAATATAATGTCAAATTGCTTGAAGTTCCGTTCAGTTAACCTCTCCATTTTCAGATCTTTGATTAGGTGGTGGGTTGTGGGTTCTTTTTGGCTGTTTTTTTTTCAAGCAGTCACTATATTCAAGAGCATCACGCTTTGCTGACAAGCCAGATGCCCAAAGGAGTAGGGATGCATTTAAGTGGCCTAATGCACTGCTGTTTTTTCTAATTGTTGTTTCAGTTTCAAATGAGAATTCAACCTCTTACTTCACTACAGAGAAAAAAAATCTGTTGCAAAGAATGTAAATCATTTAGAGATGGGAGCACTCCTCAGTCTACAAACGAAGCAAATATTTAAAGTTGCCTTATTTCATGTAGATGTAACTAATAAAGTGATAGCAAGACATTATAGCTGACATACTCATCTGTGAAGCTTTTTCTTCCTGGAGTAAGCCATCACAGCCACACTATTAAATTGCAGCAAGCCAGAAGTATGGATGCATCTACCAGAGCTGCAGGGAGGAGGGGGAAGGAGGGCACATTCAAACCTAAGCATCTCTAATTGCAGCATGGCTCTGCAAACTAATCTGTTATCTGACTGCGTGTTAAACCGCTGCTCTTTGTTCTCCTTAAGTGATAAATGAATAGATTCTTTTATGAGAAAGGGTTCTTTTAACACTGTGTAAATAAATAACTAAGGAAACTGGTCTTAGTCAAATAAAAGTAACACATATATACCTTTGTGCATATATTTTCTTGTGCTTAACTGATTTTCTTAAGTACATGATTAGGAAGAGGATATTAGGAGCATAACATCACATTAGATTCAAATCTCCTGCTGGCCTCATCAGTTTTCTGCTGACCCTATGTCTTGCAGATACATTGACAGAGTGGGAAGGAAGAATACAGACAGTAACTATGAATTATTTCCACAATTTTACATCAGAAATAACACTCTGCTTTTCAAACATATCTATATATATATTATAATAATTTCTTTAAAAACAGAAGGAAACACTCTTAATTGGGGAAATAATTGTTGGTATATTTTTTTGCATAAAAAGTAGCATTACTAGCCATTTTTTCCAAAGGAAAATCAAAGGTGTAACATTATTTGCCTTAAGGTTCCAGCAATGTTCTGAATCATGCCATGGGGGATGTGGTCCCTTCACTGACAAAAGGAATGGTCTAAGGAGCCAGTCACTAACTTTATCAAACCTGAAAAGCAGCATTAGATTTACTGCAAAACTCCAGTCATGAGCACTGACTGCTGAAAAGGGCTCTATCCTCCCAAGCACCTTCCCTTTGCCCTTTTATCAGGCAGGAATAGCTGGAAGGGACACGGTTTTCTTGGATGTTGGAGGAGGAGCAAAAAACAAGAAGCATTTCTCCCTTGAGAGAACATTTCAGGAAGAGGGTGGGAAGCATTCATTTGTTCCACTGGTGTGGAAGAGATAGCTGGAAAGAAAATAACCTCTTCTGTTACTAGACACCAGTAATAGAAGTGCACTGTAAATAGCTACATGCTCATATGACCTCACTATCAAGCTGATGATGGGGAAGGAAAAGCTAGATGGACCACGTAGACTTCTAGACTGGAAAGTCATCTTGCTGGCAGGTCCAACCTGAGGAAGAAAGCAGCACAGACCAAGAATTTTTATGTTCATTGGAAAGCTTCCTCTCTAATCCCTCCCCTCTCCACCCCTAAAATCCTTTTGAGTGCCTTTACCTTGGCCTCTTGGTGCAGTCGAGCATTTACATTTACTGGGTTTTTTTTCTAGGACTCGCACAGGAAAAACTGTTTCTGTACTTACTATGCTTTACATTATTGCCAATTTGAAATTGAATTGCACCCAAATTGAGATTTACAAGAAAAATACTCAAAGCAATGAGAAAGAAAAAAGAGTGGAGAGTGTGCTACTGCCACACAGAGAAACACGGCATATTTACCGTGCATTTTGCTCCTGTACATCAAGTTTCAGCCTGGAGCAATTTGCTGAAGCAAGGTCATAATAAGAACACTGACACAGCCTTAATTACAATATAAATGCCGCAGCTGTAACGAAAATCTCTGCAACCCCCAGTGAAAACACATAGACTATATAATCAGACCAATGATCACTTCTGGAGGCTACAGTAGCTTTGTAACTTAAAGGAAAGAAAAGTTTTTAACTCAGTTGCCTAATACTCATACAGATGAAGGCTAGAAGAATTGCACTAAATTACAATGTTTGTAGCATCAGAGGACTGTTTCTGGTTCTGTTTCTGTTATTATTTCTGAGTCCAAAAGAAATTACTGGCTGGATGCAATCAAGTGTCTTGCAGTTAATTGCTTTGAAAACCAAATGTGAGCTGGCAGAGAAGCTAGGTATCTGGTTGTAAGAATTGCTTCCTTGGATGGACTGCTGCTGTAATCCAGGGGCTAACAAGAAGGGAGAAGCTGCCAAGCCACCGTAGTCTCATCCTAGTATCCGACAAGGTAGCCCTCCCTAAACCATTAGATGCTTAGCTTTCTTTTTACTCTTCTTTTTCCTCTTCCCCCCTTTTTTTTCTCCAGGATTCTTCAAGTTTGATTCTTCCTGATGTTCACATTTGCATTTTATCCTTCAAGATGCCAGGTTTCAAACCTGTATTGCCCATTACAAAAACAAACTTCTAAATGGTGCCTGGCAGTAGCACACTGGTCCAGCATGATCCAAAGCAGTAAACTCTGAACTCTTTACCATCTACAGTAAACTTGTTCAAAACCTTACCCACAGAAACACTGAAGCTATTTCATTCTTTTAAAAACTGAAACCGGAGGTTGGTAGAAGAGCCCTTCAGGCTGAGTCCTATGAAGAAGCCTATTTACAGACAGAAACATAAGCTACCCAGACTGTAGGAAAATACCGAAGAGGATAATGAGCCACGTCTGGAGTTGGCCTGCTGATAACTGGAAAACTGCGACTTTAAACTGTGTAACCGAAAACATTTGATATTTGATCAACATTAACTCTCAAACATCAAATAAATTATAGAATTTTCAGGCCAGGAGTTAATCAATCATTTGAGGAAATAGAGAAGACCATGGTTTTGCTCAACATCAGCTACTGCCCCTGATAGAAAGGGCTAAAAAAATCAAGGTACATGGCAACTGATGATTCTTAAAGATTTTTGTTACCTTAAAATCATTACAGCGTTATCTACTGCATTTCATATAGGCGCCCCACATTCACTTCCCCTAAAGAACAGCCAAATGCCACACGGGCACCCACAGCTTCCAAAATTTTGAAAGGTGGCTTATGAGGATATTTCCAAGGGCAAAAAGTTCAGAATGCGTTCTGTGAAGACTCTTATTTCCTGTTAACAATACGAAGTTTTTCATCATCTGCTTTCCTCCTGGATGTTCT